TATATATATATATATTATTACATATTATCTATATATAACTACGGATTCGTCCTGTTTTTCGAAGGAAGGGTTGGCCTCGAGGCACGAAGCTTCCATTGTTTTTTTTTTTCACGGGGCGGGGTGCGGGATGGGGTCAGGGGGTTTGGCAGTGATCCGGCGAAGGGTCATAATTTCGGGGTTTCGGATTCAGGGTTTTTAGGGTTTAGGGTATATTGGGTTTAGGGTTTAGGGTTTAGGGTATATACCTCGAGGGCTGAGGCTGGGAGGCTCTTGGGACTGGAGTTCTTGTCCTTTCTGAAGCCGCGAATCTACTGGCGACCTCGGCAAGCTGAGCAATTATTCCCAAGCAGCCGCTAGCATCCCTCACGTACAAGGTGCTCACACTACCTATCAGCGAAGAATGGAGGTCTAAACAATCAGAAAGTAGATCATCTCTACTAGAACCTCCCGGGCCAGTATACCAGGATCGGAATAGTTACTCATGCCCACAATATACCCCCAAACCCTATTCTAGTGATCAAAAGGCAATAGGCTACATGAGGCGTCGCAGATCAACGACTCTCGAGCCTTTGGGAGTATTCGGGGACTTGAACAGCTATCCTGTCACTGATCACGGAAAGCTGTGCTAAACGGTGAGCCTTGCTTTCGGTGCTTTTAGCATTGAAGGGGCTTTGGAAGTATGAGTTGCAATCTGTAGACATGCATTTTTGCCGTGCACTTGCATCGAATTCGCCTAGACAGGCTGTTTCTGAAAAAGGAGTGACACGATCCGCCGCATGTGGGCTGCACTTCTGTACACCTGCGGCACGCAGGAGCTTCAAGAACTATCTAAAATCTAAGTCCGTGTTCCTAACCTTTGAACAGCACCCTATCTATCAAACCGGATATGCATGAACTACATACAACTTGTCTTTGTGTCTTAAAATCTCGGAATACCGCGGTTTACACCCAGCTTCGAACTTGAACCTCAACCGCTCAACCCCTAGATCCTATGGCATTGGGTCTGTGAGTCCCTTTCTTAGTACTTCGACTCCTGCCCACAGCCGTTAAGATTGTAGCTCTAAGCCGCCTAAACCCAAAGCAAGTTCCTGCAAAAGTCCTAAACCCTAAACCCTAAACCATCCGCCAATCCGTAGGTCCTAAACCCTAGCCCTAAACCCTCAAGCCCTAACTCAAGCCTCCACCACTGAAAGCCCGCAACCCTGGTCGGATCATTCGGCTTCCAGGCTTCTGCCAAGAGCCTTCGGCTAAAGGGCTTTAGGGGTTTAGCGTTCTGGGCGGGCTTTAGGGCTTTAGGGTTTTGGGCTTTAGAGCTTTAGGGTTTTGGGCATTAGAGCTTTAGGGTTTAGGGCATTAGAGCTTTAGGGTTTAGGGCATTAGAGCTTTAGGGTTTTGGGCATTAGAGCTTTAGGGTTTTGGGCATTAGAGCTTTAGGGTTTCGACTCTCACACTCGCACAAGCTCTAGGGGTTTAGGGTTTTGCTTTTGCCACCCGCTTCGCTGATGGGGTCAGGGTTTATAGGGTTTAAGGTTTCAAAGAGCTTTGGGCCTTTCGGAGGCCTCGACTTCGGAGGCCTTGCCGGGGAGGTTTAAGGTTTCGGGGGTGCAGTGCATGGGGCGAAAGAAGATCCCAGAGCCTTTTGCATACAGCCTCTTCAACCTTAAACACCTACCCTGACCTCCATTTTCGTCAAACCTGCCTTTGGTTTTCGACTGATGCTGCTGATCCTCCGGTTGCTGCCCATATTGCCTTGTTGTCAGGGCCGTGTTATGGGACGGCCACCCGAAACCCTAAGGACCCCAAAGGCCCTAATATGGGGCCTGAGTTAGATAGGGTTTTGGGGTATATTATACTATAACTACAAAAAGGACCCATCAGAATAGTGTTGGTAATTATTCAGGCGCCCTATATTACACCCCAAACCCTAACCAGCAAAGGCACTAAGCGGATCGCGGGAGGCGCAGCTCGAGAGTGCGCGACCTGACTTGGGCCAAGGACTTGGTGGCTACCCTAACATCACCTGGGTTTTTTTGCCTCCTACTTAGCAAGGACGAGCCTGCATTGCAGGGTAAGAGTTTAGGGTTTTAGGGTTTAGGGTTTAGGGTGTCATTTGCAGGTCGTAATTCAAAATCCCAGTAATTCTGAGTAAGATTGTTTCAACCAGCCTCAAACTATTATATTCGTATCTGTATTAGGGTACTCTCTTTACCATTTGTTCTAGTTATTCTAATTGATTCTGATACTAATATATGGATAGTCGTTTAAAATTGGGCCTCTTTTGGTGTCTTTTTTTAAAGGTGCCGACTATATTATGTTGGGCACCCCAAAAGGGACCACAATTTAGAGAACTACCCATATTAGGGCTCAACAGGTGGCCGCAGGAGAGGTTCGGGACGCTCGGCCGGAGCAAACGGACGGTTTAGGGTCCAGCGATTTGGGCTTTCGGCGCTCACACTCGGACAATCTAGGCGAGTTGGCTTTAGGGCTTATAGGGTTTAGGGGTCAGGGATCGAGGTTTAGGGTTAGGGTCCAAGGACTTGTGTTAGGGTTTAGAATTCAGGGTGCAGAACGGCAAGCGATTCGATGTGCTCCGCAAGAAGTGCAATCAGGAAGAGCGCCGAAATCCTATCTATCTCCTCCTTTTGTCGCGCATAGGAGCAAGAATGATAGCTGTGCCATGTTAACCAATTTTCTTGTCTTGACCTCTATGCGACAGCTTACGGTAACACCCTGCACTCTTATCCGTAACCCTGGTAACCTTCATCCTACATTAATCCCTGCTCCCTATATAAACCCGAAGGGCCTCAAGCTTTGCCCCCTGACCCCTAAGCTCCAAGGACATCCGAGGAACTTCTTCCTCCACTTTGCCTCCAATCCGTCACCGCGGACACGTGGCAAAGGTAGACGGAGCACCTTGCAACGCTTCAAACCTATAGTCTCCATTGTACTTCCTTTTTTTGGTTTAACCAATTATATATTAAGGATTTATAAGGTAATTATCCCCAAAAGGATCTACAATGGAGACTATAGGAAGGGTCTGAGGTTTGGGTTTAGGGTGGTTGTGTGGGCTCCCGCCTCGCAAAAGCCCAAGCAAGCTCCGGATTCTGGGCTTGAGGGCCAAGGGTGGGGTTTGAGGATTTGGGACATTGCAGTTAGGGTCTTGGGGTTTTGGGAGTTTTGGCTCAACAGCAATGTAAATTGAAGAGCGGATTTGAATCCGAGATCCCAAACCCTACCGCATAAACCCTACGACACCCTAAATCCGAAACCCTAAGGCCCTAAACCTTACACAAATCCACAAACTCCGAACCCTAAACCCCGAACCCCACCTCCGCCGATGCCGACGGGCCGTGAAGTTGCCTCGGCTTGTTTCCCTACTTAAGCCTCGAAACTCTTCGGACCGAAGCACCACCCCTACAATCTAGGGCTTAGGTTTTTGTTGGTGGCTTAGGGTTACCGGGTTGCCCTAAATATACTCTTCGGAGCTAGGATTCGGCGCACCTTTGGCGATATGGACCCTCTCAATGAGGTCGCTTTTAAGAGAGCCATGAGTAGGGTTAACTACCTAGAAACTTTTAAGTGCTTTTAGGTTCTTATCCTAAACCCAAACTTATAATGTATAGGGACCCTACACAAGAAGGTAGGTTTGGGTAGCCTAAGAAATACGCTTGAAGCCCGAACGCTGGGCCATCAAGAAACCTTGGGGATTCCTGGGCTTTGGGCGTGCGGACACAGACCTGCATTGAAGCCGGTCTCGTTAGTCGGCGTTTGAGGTTTGGGGCCTTGGGGGGTTTGAGTTTTGGGGTTGTGGGGGGGGCCATTGTGGTGATTTAGGATTCGGGGTTTAGAAGGGGCCAGGGCCAGGATGCCCGCCACGCATAGAAGCTGTTGATTTGCAACCGCGCGCTTAAATGCCGTGGGTTTAGGGTTTAGGGTTTAGGGTTTAGGGTTTAGGGATTTCTGCCCGCATCGGGAAAACCAGCCATGGTGGCGGCAGCAGCAGCGGCAGCAGCTGCTCCAACAACAATAAGAAGACCATCAGCGACAGTAAATGCAACAGTAACTCCAACATATTCATTACTTCAAGGTTGTGAGCTTAATCAAAGTCAGGTCAGGCTGATTGCAAATTTGCCGCTGCTGGTGCTGCTGATGTTCGATATCATCAACATCATCTTCTACAGTCATTAAAAAGTCATCAGCACATCCCTGAGCCATTAAACAGTCGAAGAGGCGGACGCCAAGGTGCAAGGTCAGGATCTGCTGGGAGTCGTTGACATCCAAGGCTAAGTTGTCCAGACTGACAGACTCCAAGGAGTCATCTAGGCGCACCTCGCTTTGGCTACTTTCGATCTAGGCGGCTTAGGGCTCTGAGGTGGCTTTGGGGTTTGGGGTCATATTGGATTTTTCGGTCTGGGTCTTCAGGAATTGGGATGCCCTAGGGAAGACTTTACGGTTCAGTACCGGGCCGGAGCAGTGATTGGAACAATAGTCGCGTGTCTGTAGCCAGAACTCAGGAATCAAAGCAAACTCGATTTCGAAATGGACCTAACCACCCACTGGGCCCTAAACATCCCAAAAAGTAATCTGAATCCTCATGCCCGAAGCCCCAAAACACAAAAACGGTCGAACATGGTAGCTGAGTGGCCTTCAGGAGAATCGACACGTGGGTTTCTTCCCTCCTTGGCTTCGTCTGGGCACGTTTCAGGAGCCCCGGTGTTGTGTCGGACTAACATTGTTTAAGCTCTTTAGACAGTAAGGCTCAACGGAGGTTACTAGAGTGGCATTAGAAGTGGGCATAAGGTTTCGGGCTGAGGTCGGGAATGATACTTTCATATCCTTTCGAATAGCTCTGGGAAGTATACACTTGATGCTTTTAGGCTCCTACTTCGCAGGGACAAATTCGCATTGCAGGCATCTGGGGTTAGTTTAGGTTGGGGATTACGGGTTGTTGCATGTGGTAAACAAATCATGTGCACCAGCACGGAATCCGTGTTTTCTTGTCTTAGGAACTTGGTGTTATCAGGCTTCAGGAAACCATGAAGAAGATTTAGGCCAACGGAGAGAAATCATAGTGCAGTTTTGCAAGCTCCCTCCCACGCCCTTGCTACGTGCGGCACCCTTGTCTACTCGAATTCGAGCCCTTGCTTAGGAAGTTCATCTTATGGCAATAAATCGCAAAGGCCCAAACACCGACTGACGTCATACATTCAAGCGAGCACACTACTTCCGCTCCATCCATCCCCTGGAACTCAATAATCATTCGTATGGGAAACGGGAAGCTTGCTCTAAACCGCTTGCTGTGCAGCCAACGAGAATCGTGATCCTGTTAGTGGTGCTGTGGGGAGTACAGAGTGCTGCTTCTTCCGTGCCTTCAGAACCAAACAAATCCAAAACCACAGGTTTTCGTCTGGACAGAAGCTGTTCATGTTAACCCACACCTCCAATCCAAATCCGTTTAAGCCGAAACTGTTAGTGAAAACTACCCCAAATAACCTCCCCCCAACCACCAACATAACAATCCTGAACCCGCAACCCCTGGCTAAACTTTAAAAGCCTAAGCCGCCCCACGCTATGCGTTCTAGCCCTCAACTCCGCCGAGTTTCAAAACCTCGGCGACCCAGGCGGGAGAGCTTTGGCTCTGCTCTTTGCTGGGCTCGGGCTCCGGCGCCGGTTGCTCCGCCGCCGGGGAGGGAGATCCTTGGAAGCTGATCGCAGGAATAGGAATAGTCGTAGTGACGTCGTAGTAGTCGTCGTCGTAGTCGTAGGGTGTAGTGGGAGTAGGCCCAGGGTTCAGGGTAAGGGACATGAAACCTGGCGGGTCGGTAAAGGAAACCCGCCGAAAAGTAAGGCCCCACCAGCAAACTGAGGAGATGCACCTAGGTCGCTGCCTTTAGTCAGTGTTGAGAAATGACGCCTTTCTGCTCCTCCAGTGCCCTTTAAAACCAAGAACATCCAGCCATTTCTGCTCGACGGTTTAACCTTCTCGGAACGGATCAGACAATGTAGCTCATGGACGTCATCATGGTTGGGCCTCTTCCCAGAACGGAGTGGACCATGAACGTCATCATGGTTGGGCCATGGATTCCCTCCTCTAACGTGTTAATTAGATCCAGGGCTGGGCCCAAGCGGATGCAAGGAAAGGGGGCCTTCGTTTCGCACGCAACGAAGGTGTGACGCAACGGCAGAGAACCCCACAAATACCAGTGTAGTTTACAGATGCCTAAAAAGTATGGAACGTATCACATGAAAATGCGGGGACAAGGCGCCGGAAAACGAAACACTGGTATTTGCAGGGGTTCTGAACCAAGCAAGCTGAACCGTGCAAAAAGTAAGGGTCTATTACGTCCCCGCCTAGATATAAAGGATCTTACTTCATTTTATAGGGGCTATATAGATCGATGAGGGTCCCATTAAGGCTCTGTTGGAGCCCTGAAGTATTCGGAACAAGCTCTTTAAGGGTTGAGATATGTTGAGATTCCATTCAACAGTTCCCTTGAGCGTTCTGTTAGGGATTCAGGGTTTCACTGTACACTGTAGCGTCTATAGAGCTCTGGGTGTTCGGGTTCTTGATTCATTCCTTCGAGCAGGATGCGCAGGTTCCCCATCAAATAGGGCATTGCGCAATTGAAGCTGAAGGGCTCTGCTTTGCAGCTAGCACGAACAGTCATCCCTAGAGAACTTTGAAGTGCATCGGCGGCTGCGATAGTCGGCAGAGGATATATGGAGTTGCTGCTGATTACCGTTTGTTCCTTACCGGTCCAGCAGGGCATAGTAAGCCCCTAAACCCTAAATCCTAAACCCTATGCCGTAAGCTTTACATTCCAAGAATCCAGCAGGAGCCTCGATCTCGCTCGCTCGAAAGGAGCTCGGACGGTTGTAACCGGTGCTGTCGCCCGGCTTCGGCAACTTCGCGATCTCCTGCAGGCATTTCTTTTGGGCTTCATACGGTTTCACAATCTAAGCCAAGCACTACAAAAGCCTGGAAACACAGCTGGTTTTTGAGACTCAGGACAGGGACCCTTTGAGTAATTTATCTTTGAACCCGAAGCCGTTGACTCACTGGAATAAGCCTCAACGTGTGCATTGGTTGGGTGGTGTGAGGAAGCATCATTAACCTCCAACCCGTAACTTAGACCCTACGGTGCAAGGTTGCGGGTGTCGGGACAAAGGGCCGCAGTTACTGGCGTCGTTGTAGTTGCGGAGCTCTTGCATCGCTTGCGAGCGTTGCATTATTCCTTCGACTCAAGACTCACCCTAAACCCCTATAAACCCCAAACCCCTAAACCTCTAAGCCCAAAGTTTAGGGTTTTGGGTTTAGAAGCTCCGCAAGTAACTTGGCATCGGATTGGCCGGATAAAAGCGTAAAAAACAAGACCGACGCAATAAGCCAATGCCAGGTGAGTCGTTTTCGGGGTTTCGTGCGATCTTGATTTTAAGGTCTTTGGGGTTTAGGGGTTTAAGGTTTGCGGTTTAGGGGTTTAGGAGTGTAAGGGTCAGGGGTCAGGTTCGTCATAGGCTACGATATTGTGGGACCATTGTAGGGTTGATGGGTCAGGGTTTGGTGTTTGTGCTCATCTCACTCCTGAAGCCCAAACCCGAAAGACAAAGCCCAACCTTAAGCCTCCGATCTAAATGTGGATAGGGGTTTAGGGTTTAGGGTTTAGGGTTTAGGGGTTTTGGGATGGATTGAACTTGTCAGCGTCATGAGTACGAAGTATGCAGTGAAGAACGGCTTTTTGCCTCCCACCTGGGTAGGCCAACCTAAACTATACGGTTTAGGGTTGTAGGATTTCCGCTACGCCATTCTCAAACTGGCTTGTCCTCCGCCGTCAGGGGATTCAGGATCGTGCCCTTGGCCTCGCATCGTGGTTAGGATTTCAGTCTGGGTTTAGGGTTTAGGGTTTAGGGTTAGGATTTCGGTCTCTTCAAATCTCCCATGGTTCCTTGTCACTGCAGGGATTTCTAATCCGCGACCGGACCACCGAACCCTGAACTCTTTTACATCATCAGCCCTGACAGCCCTGAACCCGAAACTCTTGATCCTTTCTAATTGATACTCCCGAAAACGCCTAAACCTGTTAGGACATAGCATTCCGGGTGTAACGGATCCGGCTCTACCGTTTAGATGCCCAAACTTCCGAACCGGTGCTATGCAGTTGCTTGAGGACGGGAATGAGTACTGTCGCTCCACGACCGCGCCATAGCACGACTCCAGCTCCATAGTATACCGGAAATGAACCGGTGACAGCAATGACCCCAACTGGGTGGTGAAGGTGCCCGGAACCTTATACAAAGTGTCGCTTTCAACAACACCAAGAATGTAAATAAGGGCTCGATGTTAAACAACAAGAAAATGAACAATTGTCCCAGAGCGGTACAAGTATGTACAACTGCATTACCCCAAACCGCCCAAACCCTGAACCCCAAAACCCCCAAATCCCAGCAACCTATGCGTAAAGAACAAGAGCTGGTCATTTGCTTCCCAAGGTAAGCTGACTTGGTCGAAGTCGCTGGCGCTTTGCTGGCTGGTGCTGCAGCCTTCGTCTGAAGCGCCACGGGCGGCGTCCCGCTCACGAGATCCTCAGCTTCGCAAGTCCACTGCAGCCCCACATAGGGTGTCGGGTTTAGGATCCACTGCAGCCTCTAACTAAGTCCTAGGCTCTGTTTGGGTTCAAGTCGGGTGTCGTAAGTCATCTACAAGGGTTCCCTTTTAATCTTTTCGGGGTTCTCCATGGGAGCTTAAAACCCTTTTTAAAGTTTCCAGTTTAGGACACCAAAGACTTAAGGAAGTCGTGTTTGCAGGGTCGTGGTAGGGACTGGGCATGTTGGGGTCGGGGCTTAGGGCTGTAGGGCTTTAAGTTTTTTGGGTTCGGAGCTAAGGTAGGGCTCAAGGTTCAGGGGTTTTTTTCGGTCTTCAGCATGTGTTCGTTTAAGTAAGGGAGCTGCAGGCACAGCCAGCACCCCATCGTCGGTCTTATGAAAGTGACTTCCTGGCATGGTCTACAATCTGTCGTTTAGTGTATGATTGAAGCTTGCGGTAGCATCAACAGCACATAATTTCTAAAGCATACAGGGTGTCAAGCAAAAGCAAGCAACAACCCTGAGCCCTAAAGCCTAAACCCTAAACCCTGAGCCCTGAGCCCTAAACCCTAAACCCTACACCCTAAACCCTAACAGTGGAAGCCGAGCGACCCCATACCAGCGGCGATCCTTCTCACGCTTGAAGAGCTTGACCTCCAGGAGGGTGGTTGCCAAAATTATGGTCCCTTTTGGGGTCCTTATTATAATACGGCACCTAGTATTTAGGGTACCCCAAAAGGGACCATAATTTTGACAACTACCCAGGAGTCTAGGAGCAAAAGCCCCAAGTCTCGACATGGGCTTGGGGTTTATGGCTTCGGGTTAGGGAACCTAGGGCTTTAGGGTTTAGGGTACTTAGGGTTTAGGGTTTAGGGTACTTAGTGTTTAGGGTTTAGGGTACTTAGGGTTTAGGGTACCCTAAACCCTAAACCCATTTGGGACTCCATGCTGCAACCGCGGTCTGGGGCCCATGCTGTTGAAAGTAGTCCTGACGATGGGAAACAGAACATGGACCACGAAGATGTAGACCACTCACCCCTTTCTTAATCAGCACCAGGTACAGGGAAGTAAGCTACCAGCCGTGAAGTAGCTTTGGAATCAACGAGTTGGGCACCGCATATCTACATGGAAGACTGCGACTGGACTGAACAGACATTTCGCAAGCCGCTCAATGTGTATCTGACTGGATAGTTGAAAGTGGCCGTGTAGGTTTCCAACTTGAACCTTGAAACCAAGCTCTTGAATGCTCAGCGGGTCTTGCAAAGCTATCCTCCACAGAAGCACCTTTTTTCCCATGGGACTCGACTGCTGCCCTTACTGCGCAGCTTGACCCACAAGACAGTACGCATGACTGAGACGCGAGACTGGTCACTTCGCGGCTCCTGAAACCCAAGATCCTTAAGAATTAGACTAGTGTTCGGGTGTCTGCTTTCCTTGCTGCTTGCAAAAATCATAGCCATCAAAGGCACCGTAAACCCGACACCCTGGACCCTAAACCCTGCTCCCTAAAGCCTTCAGTCTCAACCCTACAACATCCTATAAGGCCACCCTAAACCCTAAACCCTAAAAACGGAGACTCAAGAGCACCCGGAATCTGCGCCTCCAGCCGCCTTTTGCCTTCCTTCCCTCGGAGCTTCGGCACCGTATCCTCTGGGATGATCTCGTGCGCCAAAGGCTCCAGGGGCAGTCTATACCTAAGCTTTTTGTGGTGCAGAGGTTGGGGACTGCGACTTGCTTCTTGGGAGAGCAGTCTTGAAGCCTTCGGCAATCCTCCAAAAAACCTACACCCTAAACCCTAAACCCCAGACCCTGTAAGGGCTAACACCCCAAACCCCGGAGCCGAATCGACTTCGGATCTGCGAAACGACACGACAGAAAACGAAGACGTATATTCTAATTCAATATGATACATAATAACAATCATGATAATGATGATAATAGTAGGAAGAAGAACAATAATAATGATGACGATAATAACAACATATATATATATATATACATACATGCATATGTATATATATATATATAGAGTGGCATACATAAAACATTCAGATTCTGGGTTTCGGTCCAGGGCTCATGCTCGGCCTAAAACTGCAACCCAAAACCTAAACCACGATACCCAAGACCTGAACCCCTCCCCCAAGTTCAAGGGAAGGCTGTGCAAGCCCTGAAACGCATTCCCAGGATGCCCTCAACTGCTGATCCTTGGACAGTGGTTTAGGGTTCAGGGTTTACCGGGTTGGCGTTGAAACTCTCTGAAACATATCTTTATATAGGGTCGCTTATAAACCCAAATAGGGGAAATAGAACATGTCCCAAAAACCAACCTAGTTTAGGGGTTATTTTGAAACTCGTAGAAGATGCAGACACCAGCGTTTGCTTCCGGGTTCCGCCAGCAAGTTATGATGCACCCTGAACCTCCAAGCAAGCCTTGCAGGCCTAGGGAGTCTATGGTTCTAGGGTTTAGGGTTTAGGGGTTTAGGGTTTAGGGTTTAGGGCAGGTTCGTGGATTTCGAGTTCGTTTGGGTAGTTTTCTAAATTGTGGTCCTCTTTGGGGTCCTTTTTATAAGGGTATAGACTATATTGGGGGACCGAAAAGGGGACCTTAGTTTAGGGAACTACACAGTTGGCTTTAGGGTTTAGGGTTTAAGTACCTCTGCAGGAACCTCTAGGGGACCAAAGTACATAGAACGCGGGCACCTGAAGCCGTCAGGCTAGTCTTCCAAGCAACCCTCGAACAGTCACCGAAAGACAGAACTTGCGGTGTCTTGGTTTGGGGATTGGAATTCAGCCACTTGGACCCAAAATGTATATAGTAGACTCCAAAATAATAGCTCCTTGTCTTCGTACTACCATGTAAAAATAAATGCCCCCCCCCCTGTAAACGCCTTTGTTTGGCTCTTGTACAAACCATTGTAAGAAACTTAAAATAAACCCTAAGCCCTAAAGTAAACCGTGTCTAAACAAAAAACACAACACTTTCCCTCTTCTTCTTCCGAGCACTGGCTAACGCGTCCATCCGACCGTCGAAGCCGCATGTCGATCTGCACGGCTTTCTCCTTTTCGGGTTTAGGGTTTAGGGGTTTAGGGTTTAGGGCGTAGAGTGACAGGAGCCTCATGCTCCACGCACCCCAAGACCAGGGGACCTTGAACCCATGACCCTTCGTTTAGGGTTTCGGGTCTAGCAGCCGAAAACTCGGCCTTAGTGCCCCAATCCATAAACCGCAGGCCCTGGCTAACTTCAGGATGCTTCTGCGACTTCTGCAGTAACGTGGGCAAGGCGTAGCAACTGTTGATGAGCAAGAGCTTTCGGTAGTAAGGAACATACCATAACTACCATACCTGATTTGAGGTTTAGGGGCTGTCGGTAGTAAGGAACATACCATAACTACCATACTTGATTTGGGGTTTACGGGCTTTCGGTAGTAAGGAACATACCATAACTAACATACTAGATTTTTCCCACCCGCCCAGCTGACAATGTCGCACCGCAGGGAGTTCAGTCGGACTTTACGAGAGTGTGTTGGGGACCCCAAGGAGGCTCACAGTCTTCCTAAGGCACTTAAAACTTGGTACACTTCTCGATTTGTGCGTGTCATCCTTGCACAGGGGCCATGCTAATCTTCTCTGTATCGTTCCAGTTTTATCGGATGATCCCCGAAGGGAATCCAATATATACATACTAAATTTTTTGCCTCCTACTAGATTTGGGGTTTAGGGTTCAGGCTCAGGGGGTTACTTCGGGGACTGCAGGCATCCTTCATCTGCCGTTGGGCACAGGTTTGTAAGGTTGGGGCTGAGACTGTTGGCACTGCATGAGACCCTGAAAGTCAAACACCTGCAGCCTGAACTTCGGGTGCCTGTCCAATCAGACCAGGGGGGATGGGTTATACTAGAATGCCAAAGAAGCTACAAGGGTACACAGGGGATATTGCTTGATATTACTCAAGTCCAGCAGCGTCGTCCAAATATGCGAAGAGCTGAGATTCTCAAATCATTAAAGCGGGCCCACGCTACGAATTTCTGGCCCCGATGTTGGGTCATGACGCTGACACTTGGTATAATTCTTGATCGGCCTTGAAAATCATCTATGACTTCAGCTCGAGAAAAGCAACCCCCGAAGGCCTGAAACAGAGAATAAGGCGACAATTAGACAAGCCCTAAACCGTGGCCATATGGGGGTTTCCGAAAATAGGGGACCCTAATATAGTACCCCAAATAATAGGATCCCCATTATAAGGACCCCCAAAATAAGGTACCCCTTGTTTTCGGAAACTCCCATATCTCACACGCGACACCAAGTGCTACGAGTAGACGTCTGAGACCTTGTCACCTTGAGCCCTACCTATAGTCTCCATCGTAGTTCCTTTTTGGGGATACCTTATAAAATCCTTAATATATAATTGGTTAAACCAAAAAAAGGAACTACAATGGAGACTATAGGTAAGTCCCATTAATCGCCTACCGAAACCTGCTGTTCCTGTAGGGTCTGTATGCATGCATAGATTTGCACACACATACGTAAACATGTACATATACATATACACTTACATACATACATACATACATACGTACGTACGTACGTACGTACGTACATACATACATACATACCTACCTACATACATACACACATACATACATACATACATACATGCATGCATGCATGCATGCATGCACGCATACATACATGCGCACATACATACACATATGTCATGCACACGACACTTATCACACATAAACAC